AGGGCTGCAGTGCGGAAAAATGTGTAGGTGTGCACGGTGAAGGCAAGTTGCAACGGTGCAGAGAGGAAGAGAGAGCGAGTGTGAATGAACTGAAGTCTTTGGGATTCATCTTCTCCATGCTCCTTTAAACTTCCTTCCCTTCCTCCGTCTTCCCCCCCATTCCTACCATGCTAGTCTTTGTATGAGATTGTTTCTCATCTTAACTACAAACATATCACCTGCTGTTGATTAAACTGCAAATGCCTCTGACTTATATTTGCAACTTCTGGTGTGATAATTGTATCAGCTTAATTAGCAATCTACACTGCAATAGCCCGCAACATGCATCTTAAATTGACCGATTATGCACATGAACACATTGAAAATTTGAGTGGCTTGTTTTGGTGATGTATTGCTGCTTCTCTAAATAACTGGCATATACAATCCATTGTCAGTCTGTCATTCACAGTGTATGTCACTCTGGATTAAAAATTATCAATAACTGAAAGCCTATTTTTTTAAATACTATATAGGCTATACATATTTATATATTAATGTGTCATATGCAAAATCTGGCACTTGTTATATCAAACAGGACTTCTTCTTCTTCTTTTTTTTTTTAAATTTTCTATCCTCTCACTCTGTACAATCAGTCAGGAATAGTTCAGAATTTTAGGAAATATGATTATCCAGTGTCTTGCTGACCGTTAGACTCGTGATCATGTTGGTGATTAGCCTAGCTTAGCATAAAGGGATCAAGCACGGATCTCGTCTGAATCTCTGAGAAGTCCAAAAGAAGCCTACTTACACCAACTTACAAGGCAAATACAACATTTAAGAGTAATGTGCATCCTCTGACTATAGAATTTATCCTTTTGACCAGCACATCTGTGCAGTATCATCTCATCAGGGACTTTTTATTTAGTATTTCAACTCAGCCAGGCTAACGATTTCCTTTTGTTTCTAATCAGTTTTTTCTAAGATAAGCTGACCTGCTCTTGGTTGCATAGCTTCATATATAAAATGGTCAGATATGAGATTATCTTATCTCTGCTGGAAACCAAAAAGAAAAAAGGTATCACCTTCTCTGCAGCAAACCTCCAACCTTAATCATCTTTGGGAATATTGAGCCTGCAAGTCTCTGAGTTGTTTCCGGTACCAATTATTTAAGTATTTCCAAGAAGATTTACAGTATTTAACATGGATTTCTTTAAAAAAAAAAAAAAGCAAAAGTGCCTCGTATTGCTTTTGTTGTTACTTGTGTTGAATAGCGTTGGGAAGTTCACCTGCGGTTCATTCTGCTTTCGGCTCACTTAATTTGAAGGCAGTTTTAAAGATCTAATTACTCACGATATGCATTGCAAACTAAATGAGGGAAAGTGGAAGCAGACAATGGCTGTGTTTACATGCACATAATAATCGGATTATCAGAGCAAGGTAGTGCTCCAATTAGGATGTTTACATGGGCAGACGGTTTCATTAATATTCCTCTTTCCACTCTACCCCTGCTGACTAATGGCTGAAGATGCACGTTCCATGTAAAGGTAAAATGTCAAAGTGTCATCTCAACATTCGACACTCAGACCTAATGATTCTCTCGTGGTGCCACACAGATAAAACCTTGTGACTGCACTCATGAATATTGCAACATTGAACTGTTGAGTGGTTTCAATGTTGCGGAATATGAGCAAAGATGTGTTTTCAGGCTAGACCACCACCACCACCCAGTTGAAGAACAGGACGTCAGTCTGTAGCCTTGAGAGTGTTAATAAATGATGAAGCAATCTAAGGGACAGAGTGAAATGTCCTAGCAAGCAGAACATCTTTCACAACATATTTCAGAAAATGCGGTTAACATTTTAATGAAGTCGTGTTTGAGTGAAGCCAAAATCACTCATTAATTATTAACTAATTGAAGTTCTGAATATGCTTCCTTCTGTTCTGTTTACCTTCGGCAGTGAGAGTCAGTGTTCAACCAGCCCATTCAAACATTCCCTGAGCTTCACGTTTGCTGATGTGGATTTTTCTGATCAAATATTCATACGGAGTGATGAAAACAGATTTACTGCTTCTTCGGGGATTTTATAAGAATTACCCTGAGATCAAGCTGCAGGCTTCCTTTTCTTGTTTTTTTTTTCTTTTCTTTTCTTTTTTGAAATAAGGTTTGTGGATTTGAATTTCCTGCGGGCCAACTGGAACATTAATCAATCAGCTTCCATGTCCAAACATCAAAAAAATTAATTAGCGAAAAAATGAAGCGAATATGCATGTTTATATATATTTATATACACAGACATACGCGCTAAAAAAGAAACGAGGATTGTGCCAAATGCGCCAGTTTTCAATAGAATAAAACATCAAAACAACAAGTAACTCTGTGGAGCTCATTAAGACGCACACGCACACATACAATTCAAAGACTTGTAATAAACTAAATATCAGAAGTGCCTTCTGTGTGACAGGTGTGTGCATACATACACATTAATGCTTGTGTGTGTGTGCGTTTGTTTGTGTGCTGCAGGACTACCTTTTTGCTTTCAATGTAAAGCTGTTCTGCACAGGCAACAATCTGTTTTGTGTTAAAATGTCCTTTAATAGCATTACACCTCTATAATATCTAAACCTGCTGAGAAGTCTGATGTTTCTATATCAACATAACTTAAACAAAAAAACGCCTCTTTCGCAAACAGAGAATATGTGAATGAATAACATTAGAAATATAAGAAAAAGCTACTAATCTGTGTGGGGTTAGGTTTTCTTCTTGCTGCCTACATATACTACTAAGCTGATTAATCCTTAAACAGATAACTTATATGGTTCTCTGCGTGAGTGACTTACAGGGAGGGAGAGAGAGGGAGAGAACTGAGCGATGAAAGCTGGTTTCCATCATTCAGCATGATAGCAGGAAACTAGCCTCTACCAGTAAATGGATTACCTTATCATAGGCCTCTAGATGAGTGTGTGTGTTTGCTTGTCACAGTTGTCATTTAGAGATATGACCGTAGGATTTTCCTCACAGGTTGGTGGGTTTAAAGCTTCTCTCATTCACCTGCTCATATCTCTTCTCCCTCCCTCAGTCAACCCAGACGCCTTAATACAGCTGTAAACTATACACCGTGTTCTTTAAGAGGTATTTACAGTGACTATATTTTTGAAAGATTGATTTGGTTTCGTAGCTGTTCCCGCAGAGATCGTGTCGTTTGGTAGAAAGTACTACCAATGGAAGCTGTTTTACAGTGAGGCTTGTAGAATGTAGTCAATCTCTGGTGAGTTGTGGTAAATATAATTTTTCATTCCTTTGAGTACTACAAAATAAATTCCACCCCCCCTTTGTGTTTTTACTGTAGAGGCAGAAATGTCAGAGATGGATATTGGAAAACTTTGCTAAATAAATACAAAACTATACTCATGACAAGAAATCAAAAACATATTCTGTATTTTCTTTTCTTTTAATTACACTGTACTTAGGCACTGCAGTGCTTGAAGCTAGATGTTAATGGAAGTGGGCTACTTTGCTCACGATGATGCTGACTTGCTAATAGCAGGTACTGTGATTGCCATGTTCACTATTTTCGATAATAATAATAATGTCAGCATAGGCTGGTCAAAATGTCAGTGGTATCACAGGTATATAGATGTACGCTATAGTACAGGACAAAATAAAACTTGGACTTGATGATGATAGTACAGGAACAGTCAAGGAATCGACAGAGTGATCACAATCCATCCGGTGGGAATGTGTGTGGGAACATTTCACGGCAATCCATCAAACTGAGATACAGTGCCTATAAAAAGAATCCCTTCTGGAAGTTCTCCCTTTAATTTCTTTTCAACATTGTTCATTGTCAATTTAATTTAGGATTTTCTGACAAGAATTTGCAAAAAATGTTTAAGTAAAAACAGATTTCCACAAAGTAAGGGTAGTTATTCAGAAATGCAAAATAAGTGATTGGATAAACACCCTTTAAGTCAATATTTAGTAGTTTTATCTTTGGCCATAACTATAGCACTGAGCCTGTGTAAACAGGTCTCAATCAGCCTTGCACGTCTGGGCACTGCACTTTTACCCCATTCTTCTTTGCAAAACTGCTCAACCTCTGTGAGGTTACACAAGAATCATGAGCAAACAGCCCTTTACAAGTCCAGCAACAAATTCTCAACTGGATTGAGGTCTGGGCTCTGACTCAGCCACTCCAGAACATTCACCCTGTTGTCCTTAAACTATCTCTTTGTCGCTTTGTCTGTTTGCCTTAGGTCATTGTCTTGCTGCAAAACAAATCTTCTCACAAGTCACAGTTCTCTTGTAGACTGCATCAGGTTGTCCTCCAGGATTTTATTCATTTCTTTTATTCAGTGTATTTATTTTACCCTCTACCACTACAAGCCTTTCAGGGCTTGCTGCCGAGAAACACCCCTACATTATGATGCTGCCACTGCCATGTTTTATGGTGGTAATGGTGTGTTGTGATGATGTGCAGTGTTTGGTGTCAACCAAACATAGCATCTAGTCTGATGACCAAAAAGCTTAATTTTGGTCTCATCAAACCCCAGAACCTTCTTCCAGTTGACTTCAGAGTCTTCTGGCAAACTCTAGTTGAGAAATAATATGAGCTTTTTTCAACATTTTTTTAAGGGTGAAGAACCAGCAGTTGCAGAACAGTTGTTGTATACGAAGTCTCTCCGATCTCAGAGGCTTGAACTCATTTAGAGGACTCATAGTTGTCTTGGTGGCCTCCCTTACTAGTCTCCTTTTTGCATATTCACACAGGTTTGAAGATGGTCTGCTCTATGCAGAGTTATGCATGTGCCATATTCCTTCCATTTATTAATAATAGATATAACTACACTCCAAGGGACACTGAATGACTTTTTCTTGTATTCACCTCTTGATTTATGCTTTTCAATAACCTTCTTGCAGAGTTGCTTGGAGAGGACTTTTGCTCTTATGGTGCAATTCGAGCATGGAGTACTGATTCACCAGTGACCGAACCCTCCACATACAGGTGTCTTTATACTATAAGCACTTGAGATGCATTCACAGCAGTCAGATGGTCTCTACTCCACTAATTGTGTGACACCAAACCCCTCTCCCTTGCCTGTCCTAAAGTCTTCCCACCAAGTCAGAATGGGTATACGCATCAACTTTAATTGTGCAAAAGCTGTCAATCTAAAAGTCACCAATGACAAATGGGATTCAAACCACATGAAAGTCTTGTACCATTGTTCCCCCAAACCTTTCATCCACTTCAGACTTTGTTGTTTTTTCCAATTTTCCCACCTGATGTGAGTAAAAAGCTCAGTAGTTGGCTGAAGTCTCATGTCAAAGACTAGAAAAAAACACTAAGCCAAGAGGAGGTGTGGAAGTCTAGTTACCTCTCAGACCAGTTGAATTACAACATGCTGAAAGGTTATTATAGCATTTTTTGCCCAATGATGCCAAAAAAAACCCAACTACCTTCCCCAGTTTTAATGAAGCTCAGTAGTATCTTTCAGCATCTTGGGACTGACCTGGATTAATCTCCCCTGCCAGTTTCATTTTCAAGTGAAGTGAGTGATGCTGATGAAAATGCTGGCCCTATCTATCCTGTCTCTGTGCTAGCTTAAAGTGGCCTACTTGCAAATTTTCAGCTATATATAGTTACTAATTGCAAAGACAGATTTCAATGTGCGTGTTCTACACCACTGCAGTGCGGTGTGCTGTGGACGTGCGTATGCATTATAGACTCTTCTTTTTGTTCATGATGGAAAACTTTGAAGAACTGATCTGACTCGTCCTGATTTGACACACCTCACCAGTCTTAGAAGATTGAAACAAATATTAAAGATAATGTGAGACTACTGAGGCCCTGATCTCCCTGTGTGAGACGTCTAATCAAAACATAGTCTGCAGAGTGTGAACAAGTATGGGAGACTATAAATAAACCAGAACCAAACTGTCTGTCTTTCTTCAAACACAGCCCGGGCTGGGATCGCGCAAGCGTGTCCAATCTAGAGTGCCTAGGCGATGCAAACATCTTTTGAGGATGACATGTCAGTCAAACGAACAGGAAAACAATGGAGAGCGATGAGGCATAGAGGAGACCGACTGGTTGAGGTGTCATTCAGTGCATAGAGGATATACACATATATACAAATATGCACAGACAGAAATGTGTATATTTACACCCATAAATGTACTTACACAAATGGTCACAAAGATTTTTTTATAATTTTACCCCGTTAGAGATGGTGAACTCTGAAGCTGTGCCTTCAATCATGCACACAGTTAAAAGGAATGATAACCGACTACGGAGACGCTGAAAGCAGCCTCAAGATGAACACAAAATTTTAAGGAAATGTAGAAGAGAGAGGGTGGAATATTTAGATAGGCAATCAGAGACCGTAAAGAAGCAAACCCACTTTCGAGAGAGATTAACTGCAAGAGATTGCCGCTGCAATGAGAAACAGTGAGTGAGGTACACAGAGGCAACAGGGATTCAATTACAGAGCATTGTTCTGACTCCCACTCTCAGGGACACCAGCAAACATCAGTCTGTCAGTGGCAACAGCAGGGTGGGAGGAGAGTGTGTGTCTGTGGGGGCAGTTTGTGCATATGTATGGAGGCAGCGCATTGTGCAATGTGTGTGCGCGGCATCTCAACGCGGGCGAAATATCTTGCCGTAACTTTGTCTGTGGTCGAGGAGAGTCTGGCCTTAGGCGAGCCCTGCAGAAAACAGGGAAATAAATGACAGGCTCCATCTCCCAGCGAACACCTACATCACTCATTCTTTCATTAGTATAGCTGAGAGCAGCGCAAGGATAGCGAGAGACAAAGGAAAGGACAGAACAGTGACAGGGGAGACCAAACGAAAACACAGGAAGAAAGACCGTGATAAAAATAGTGATGGAGGGGGGGTGGATGGGATGATGCCACTGATGCACTGGTGCACCTCAGAGTTTCATTGATTGTCTGAAAAGGAGGCAAAAGTTGACATTTCAAAGTTGACACCCGGTGGAACGATGTGCAAAAAAAAAAGAAACGTACCAGCAAAAATGGGAAAGTAAGAAAACAAGGAGAAGAGGCGAGGCAAAAAAAAAATGGGCTGGAAAAGCAAAATGACAGGCAACGTGTGTGGAGTTCCTTAGATCTCACACATGACAGACAGCGGGGTAAAAGCAGTAAGAGGAGAGCGTGTTTAAAGTATTGATATGTTTGCATTGCTGAGCTCGATGCCTCAGTGTTTCTTGTGATGAGACTGTGTTCTCCTCTTTGCTGTGCTACAAATTCCAAGCAGTGCCTCTTTTCCTTCTCACAACTTCTGTCTCATCGCAATGGGGAGTTATTCTAAAAATAAGGGGAGAGGTTACCTGACTAACTTGTGCTCTGAACACAGCAGTCGCCTTAAGACAAACTCAAGTTCGAGAGCACCACCAGACACCCAGTTCCTATTTCAATGGCGAAAGCAGATGATGGCGAGCGGTGAATGATGCACTGCTAGCAGCGTTTTTGAACTTCTCTGATTAGCAACATGCTGACTGCATGAAAGGCTGCTGCAGTGCTGTTATTTCAGCAGCTCAAACATTCTGCAAAGTACCATGAAATTAGATTAAATGTATGAATGAAATATGGGACACAGCTAGTTTTAAACTGGTGTTGGATGAATCTGCTCTCCCTTTTTTTCCTTTTTTTTTGTTGCTCAACTTTGCACAAACAGGTGTTGCTTTGATGTTTAAATGTCTAATTAGCTCTTGTGATTCATTCCACCCATATTTCAGCTAAAGCCCAGCAGGGTTGATTCCAGTATGTAAACATACTTATTGATATGTCTGGCCTGAGTGCACAACCTGCACTGCCCATGACAAATGTAGCCGAACGGAGAGAATGTGGCACCAAAGGGTTTGAGGTCTATTTTCCACTGGAGACAACCATGCCAGAATTATGGATTTTGCCCGGCGACTGCAAGGCATTTTAGACTAATGCTTCCATGAACTGCCCCATGCTGTAATTTATTACAGCGGAACCACCTTTTCCCCGTCACTGTGCCCTGGCAACGGCTATGGCTGAGAGAAGTATCCACAGACGGTGGGTGAAAAATGAGAAATAGGGGTGATAAAAGGTCAAGGAATCAGATAAAGTGGGGTAGAAGAGGGGATGATAAAAAGGGAGGCATGTGTTTAATATGTAATGTCTATCTTTATGTTGGCGCAGCGGAGTTACTATTCTGTTGGGGAACTTTGAAATGGCAGCGGGTGAATTAGAAAGTTAATTTTTAAACTTTGTTGACAGAGGAAAAGTTGTTTTAGCGTCAAAACAAGCTGACTGCAAAGCTGATTTATTTCAGTAAATTTGCTTAAAATACACGTGAATGTGCAGGCAGGTAATGGGAGCACCTTGTTTGGGTGTTGACAGCACGGCAAGGTCATTGAAATGGGCAGTAAAAATCAATACCCTCAAATAGTGCCTTTCAAAAACATCTGTCCTTGAGCAGTCTTATCTCTTCTCTTCCTCCTTGAACATGATCACAACCCTGCAGCAGTAACCCTGATTAGCCCTTTAGAAAGAAATCTGCATGGTTATAGCTGCCCAGACTGAAATTAAGCTGATGTCTAAAAGGGCGAGTTAGATGGTTATGTCGCGATGTTTGTTTTCTTGGGCGTGATAAAGCATTGTTATGTACAGTTATGGTGCTTTTTGTTTTTTTCTTTTCACCCTTGCAACTATTTGTGTGTTTTTTCGCCCCCCAAAATCTTGACATTTAGGAAAACAGACCAAAAAAAAGTACATAAATAAAAAATGCAAATCAGAGTTCATAGTGTTGCCATAATGGCATCCAGGATGAATTTGACTCTCATAACCTCAAGCAGTTTTGGGCTATTTTTTTGTTCCTGTCACATTTTTACTCATCGTGGGCTCATTTTTCACTGCAACATAAAGTCCTGCACCTCTGTGGAAGAAAAACAACAACAACAAAAATGTCTTTTGTGCAGTAAAACACAGTTATAATGCCATAAATGGTTAGGGGAAAAAATGCAAAGACGACAACTGAATTTCTTTGCTAATTTTTTTTACACAATTAAAAAAAACATCTGGAATCATTGTGTACAACATTTTTCCAGATGTCTCCAGGTGTTACCAATACTCCAGAAAATGGTAACTCTACATGTTACAGATGTTTTTCCTCTCTGCTCTGTATAAACACAACCTGCTGTTCAGCCTGGAAGTTCCTAAAGTTTGGGTTGTGTCACATTGCATAGTTGCACAAGGAATGCATATTTTATTCTTATTTTTTACTGAATCTGGTTCGTGCAAACGATTTTTTACGTAGACTATGCAGACGAGAGTGATTTTTAGGAAATAGCACAATTTTACTATTTACAATTTTTCTTTCACTACAAAATGTCATAGATGAGCAGTTCAAGGACAACTGTTTCTGTTTTTAGAGTGTCTGCCTCTGATAAATGGTTATAAATTAGTTGGGTTTTTTTTTTAAGATAACATCCCATTTAAACCTGCCAGCATGTTTTGAGGTTAATTAAAATCTGCACTAAGTCACAGCTCTTTGCTCAGGAGACTGAGATTTGTGTCTCTTATTGGACCATTATTTTCTTTCCACTTTGTTTCATTTTATTTGGTGACTTGCTGCTTAATTTGGTTTTAACTCACCATTTCATTAAACTTGGCAACCAAAACTAACTGGTTAACTTTCAGCACCAAAACTGCTTGCTTAGCGTTATTGAAAAATCATAGTTTGGGTTAAAAATACACAGTTTTAAAACATTAAGGATATGGTACAAGGCAATGTTTTCATTACCTGAAAAGAAGCAATAGTGGTGACACCAGCAAAGAACATGTGGTTCTGGACTCATGGGGCCTATTTCAGATGTTTACAGATTTTTATAGGTCCATTAGATCCCCATGTGCATTGAGAAATGATGCTAAAAGGCACCCACAGCTTCAAATGTGACACCAAGGGGTCCCGGTAAAGTGACTGTGTGACGACTAGCCTCAATACTTAGCAAGTGTGGTAGTAGTAAATACCTTTATAGCCTCAGAACAAATGTTTTTATAGTTTTCATGTGTCTTCAGGTATTGATTCAAGATATGGAGTCTAGTAAAGAATGGTTTTCTGCGTGACAGTTGTCTTTAATTCAAAAACAAGTCTTTTATCCTGCTGCTTGTTTCACTGCACTGTTCTGAATCCAGTGCTCGTACAGCATATGATGATTTATTTTATTGAAATTCAAATCTTACACTACAGAATTATCATTCCTATGAGGATTATTTTTTCACGTTGACAACAGGACACTATAGGAACAGGAATAGAAAAATGTAGCAAGAGAAACAGGGGAAATTAAGTTTTAGTGAAATGACAAGATGCAATGTATTATTTGTTTCAGCAGCCAAGGTCAGGAATATGACAAATTCTGGTGCAGAAACCTGTTTGCGGATAATGGCATAATCCATCACCTTTGGTTTTTCTCTCATACTAGTATATGGGACCATAACCTGGGAATGGTTTGGATGAAATAAACAGACAAGATCAGAATGTAGAGCACTTTTATACATTGAATTTGCCCACGGTGCTGCAGAAAAACTGCCTGACAGAAAATACATTTAAGCTACTTGATGAGTGATTTCAGCAGAGTAAAAACTGTATCTGAGTTACTTGTGTAGCCAGTTTGTAAGATTGTGTTCACTGCTTTAGCTAAAGGAAGAAAATCAAATATTGTGTTCATGCTTTACATTATAGCACACAAAATGCATTTGTTGTACTCACAAAATGGCCAATACCTACATAAGACTATGTATTCAAATATCCATCCATCCATTATCTATACACCACTTAATCCTCACTAGGGTCGCAGGGGGGCTGGAGTCTATCCCAGCTGACTTAGGGCGAAGGCATGGGACACCCTGGACAGGTCACCAGTCTATCGCAGAGCTACACTTAGAGACAGACAACCAAGCACACTCACATTCACACCTACGGACAATTTAGAATCACCAATTAACCTCAACATGTTTTTGGACTGTGTGGGAGAAAGCCAGAGAACCTGGAGAGAACCCACGCTACACGGGGAGAACATGCAAACTCCACGCAGAAAGATTCCGGTGCCCCCACCGGGACACGAACCGGCAACCTTCTTGCTGCGAGGCAACAGTGCTAACCAACTGCTCCACCCTGCAGCCCCCAAAGAGATCAATAAATTTCTATTCTATTCTATTCTATTCTATTCTAAATAGAGATGGGGAGCTTTTTTATACGTATATGGTGATATCATTCTGAAACTTCTGCCTGCCTAAGAGTAATAAAAAAAACAATCCTATCCTCCCTGAAGAAGAAAAGCTTCTCTGGGGTCAGTTGTTGAGG